ACTGCTTATGAGGACCGCAGCGCGTCACTTATTAGGAAGCCACGAAAGGAGAATATTCTTAGAGACTGAGAGCTTGTACAGGGAAACGCCTACGATTCAGCCCGGAGTGTTTTCAACCAGTAATGCTTTAGTGGTTTTATGCCTCTAAAGTTAAGCTGCCAGAATGATAACAGTGAGCTATAATACCTCTATCATCTGAAAATAAGAGATAAGCACTTCTGAGTGCACTGAATAGTTGAATATATAAATGAAATAAACGTATGTCTCAGTTGCGAGGGCAAGTTACGAAGAGGAGCAAGTAAGTGGACGTTATACTCGGAACGTGATAGCGATAGAGTATGAGGATAGTGGTAGACTGAGCGGACCACTTATTTCATGGGTCAGCCTCATGGTGGTACTTAAGTGCTCAAGCTGATAGCGGTTCTAGCCCCCCCCCCCCCTCGTGGGCCCTTAAGTACTAGCATAAGAAGTGGAGAGAATGGGAACGCCGACGCAGAGGTTGATGTAAGTGCACCCCATCTGTGAGGAAATGGTTCTCGTGCTGAATACTATGGCTGGCTCCCACAACTAGGAAAGGAGAGAGAAGCTTAATAGACAAAGTAATTTCAGATTTGAACAGAAGTCGCGACACAACAATTTCGCGCATGCCAGTGAGGTAGAGCCATCTGCATGACCTCCGGAGATAGCCTGTTTTCATGGGGATTGGAGAAATTCACTTTTCCAGTCCAGACTGGACACAAATAAACAGTGCACATCATTTGTTGGGGATTTTGGTTGAGTCCCTACGACCCCCCTCTTTTTTTAGGGTTGGTACACCCCCCCCCCTCAGCCAGGGGGCACGCCATCTTTGTGATCATCACAACGGGGGGGTCGTATTTGCCCTCGATGGAGGGGGGGTCGTAAGCGCATCGCCCACTCCAAAGTGGAGAGAGCACTCGGTACAGGTGAAAAGAAGCTCGAAAGGGACGATGAAAATGACAATAAAGAGAACTAATCACTATTGAACTATTCCTACGCCAAGGAGTCGAGAAAAATTTTCGCTGAAACTTGTAGTAGATGTTATCAGATGTCCTGATCACGAATATGACATCATTTCTTCGTACCTCCATATTAAGCGCTCTGCTGAGGCTGAAACTGGGAAAACGAATGATTTCTCTCAGGCCAGGCTCAGTCTCGGCAAAGCGCAGATGACGTACGCTGACACTTGCGCCAGGAATAAATGTCATATTTGAAAACAGGATGTCAAATAACCCCTGAACACAAGTTTTCATCGATTTTGGTGGTTTAGGGTATATAGGCGGCGGCGCCTGTGGCGCTGCGCCAAAAAACCCCAAATCACGAAAATTGATTCAAAACGGATATGATATTCGTGCTCAATAGGTCGAAGTGACACTGTGTGCAAATTTTCAGCCAAATCTGGCCTTCTAGAAAAAAAAACGATAAAGGAGCGGTCTGATTACAACAGACTGGGTGGGAATAGTTCAATAGTGGCGGAAACTAGATCACAAACTTAAAAAAATACCGAGAAACTAAAAAGAAACCTAGAAAGCATTGAAATACACAAAATAAATGAGAAAAAAACAACTTACCAAATTTGTATGCTAGTTGTTCGCGCCGAAAGTGCCGTCTCATTGGTACACGCTATTTCACGTCCCACAGTCAATTTCAAGCCAAACGCTCGAAAACGCTCGAAAAGTACCCCTCATTTGAACACCCATAACTTCGTTGAAAGTTAAGCTATCGGAGAGGGGAAAGTAGGAATGAGTAGAGCTAGGTTGGCTCTTATCACCTGAATTGAGCGATTTCAAAAACGTTCCGGTTCCAGAGATTTTCCCCGTTGTGATCATCTTTGTGATCCATCTGTGATCATTTTTGCGAACCGCGAGTCGCTACGCTTTGGACGTCCATGGCAAGCTTCATACACGGCCTTTCGTAAAAAAAAGAACTGTGCCGGAAGCTTGAGATGTTCTACTTTTCCAGCAGTGCCTTTAATATTTCTTCCCTAGCTTGCTATTTCGAAAAAATTCCCCGTTGTGATCATCTTCGTGCTCACCCCCCACGACACGAAAAATCAACCCCTCCGAGGCCAGGAAACCTCCAGTTGGCTTGAAGACTTTGGTATGCTTCTGAAACACATGTTTCCGCAAAGGGTATTGAAGAATGGTCTAATGGGCGCCAATTGGCATCACCTGTGCAATGCGCCATGCATGGGGCTTTCACGCAGGTTTTGGAAAGGTGTAACTTCTAGATAGGGCTTCCCAAGTGCAAGCACATGTGCTCCTACGATCAGAAAAGTCCGGGAATGTACTTTCATCTGTTTATTAATCGTCACGTCGTGAGTCCTTTGTTTGTTTATAAATTCATGGTGCCCTTGTGGGCGGTGATCCTAGCTCCTATCATCGCCCCTTCCTCGTACGTATTGTCAGTATGCTACACCAGCGCCAGAGTGCTGGACGTCTGGACGTGCTTGGGACGTACGTAGGTACTGCGACCCCCCCCCGCTCGACAGCAAAATTTTGTAAAAAAACCAGAAATTTTTTGGGGAAAAATAGACAAAGTGGTAGGAGGTTGGAAAAATCTAGGGAAGAGGTAACATGGGGAGGGGGTCGTACTTGAAATTGAATTACGGGCGGAGGGTTCGTATTTTTCATGTTTCAGGAAGATGATCACACCAATGGCGTGCCCTGCCCTCCCAGCCCTCTGTCCTCCTCATCGAGCGGTCGGGCGGGGTGTGGGGGCGGGGAGGGGAGGGGGGTAAATGGCAGATAGGAAAGGGAAAACCGCGACGGAAATACGACCATTTCCCTCCCAAAAAACGAACAAATACGGCCCCTTTTACAACGTCCGTGTAACAAGAAAAATCAACTACTTAAAGGCAGTTGGCACGATAAATCCCCAGGACGAGTGGGACCGGAAACTCCTAGCAGGATGGGATTTCCGCGACCCTGGCGCGCAGGCCGCTGCCATCAAGCGGTTTCCCAGAAGATGCCCTTATAAGGGCCCTATCAAGCAACAACTTTACGTTCCAAACGCCCGCCTTGCCCGCCCGCCCACAAATGGACGACAGTTCCAGACGCTCGTCATTTGCTGAGCAAATTATAAAGCAAAGGGATTTATATGAAGCACCCGTGATGCTGCATTGATACATGGGTACATATATGCAGCCGTATCTTCGGTAGCGATGATTGGCGGGATGCATACATGAAACTCGTCCAAAATCAATTTGCAAGTCCATTGAAAAAGGAGGCTCTTTATTCATTCGATTTCGACCGTTTCAATCCGTTCTTTCGCCATTTTCCCACTATATAGCGCCCTACTAGCATTTTGGGCCGACCACAAAATCATCGTGCAAACTGCCTTTAAATAAATTTTCTTCAACCGAAATACGATCTTCCATCTCCTGGCGACCAAATACGACCCCCCCCCCTGAGTTTGAGATCGCAACAACGATGTGCCGTGCTAAAGCATAACTTCAGAAGTGCGCGATGAACAGCGGATTTTTTTAGCGAAAAGTAGAACAAATCCTGAAAAGAAGAGCCTATCTCTCTTAGTTGAGGTAGGTGCGCGCATATATGAATGATGATGATATTTGCTTTTTCCTTGTTTCAGCGGTATTCACTCTTGGTCAGCGGTCGTTTTTTCTCCCCTGAGCAGTACGTCCTGCGCTCACAGTAGGCCTTATAACCATTCCCAGCTTGAAATTTTCAGCTAGCTATGCAGTCACTTCACCAACCTACCTATTGTTAGCACAATTCCAATGCTGCCGATATGGTGCTTCTTCAGAATGAACATTAACGGTTTCTAGACAGTTTTATCATTATGGTTAGATAATTACGCGTTAGCAAACTGTTGCTGACAAGAGCGTATTAACCATTATTCATAGATACTACCTCTACTCCATATCACGAAGATGGGGAAGGCGTGGCTGCGTACTTCACTTGAACGCAAGGCCAGTATGACAGGTTTCTTAATTGGCAGCCTCCCTACTCTACCTCCGCCGTATAGCGCAAACACTTTTATTTTTATTAGAATATATCCTTTGTAAATGGTACATTTGACCCGACATTGACATTGTGTGGTTGATTTCAATGTACCTTTTCCAACGCCTCGCTTCAAGCTCTCTAATTCAGGGCTAATGCCGTTTGGACTCCAGCAATTTCGGCACCGAGCTCATTTTTAAATTGCCTAAGTCACCAAATCCGCTGAAAACTTGTACATAGGGGTAGTTTAACATCCTGATTACGAATATGACATTCACTCTTGCCGCTGGCGCTAATGGATGACCGTAGTGGAATGAGTGTCATAATTGTAATCACGATGGTAAATAACCCTTGTGTACATGTTTTCAGCGGGTTTGGTGACTTAGGCAATTTAAAATGAGCTCGGTGCCGAAATTGCTGGAGTCCAAACGGCATTAGCCCTAAGGCAGCGTTCAGACTTCGCGACGGCAGCGCTTCGGTCGGCCGTTCGGCGCGATCGATGCTGTCGTAAGTATGCGCATAGAGCCAAATGTGCGACAGCCTAAGCCGATTCCACGTTTACAAGACAGTTTTTTCCCCACTTTGATACGGGTGCGACACCTGCCAGCTTCCCACTGTCCCTGATTGTTGTCCCTTGCATTCCTCAACAATTAGCAGGGAACGGGTTGGCGCCGCGCCAAGCAACCCCCGCCCTCCCTCCCCTTAAACGCCCAGCGAAAAAGGCTGTCACTCTCAGCGCCATGTGTTCATCCTTAACAATAAAAGGAAGGTCGTTTGGAACAAACTTCATTGAACTAGATGTTGGGAGCACATTTCAATTACAAGTAAGAGAATTGGTTAGGGGTGCCATGACACTGCATTGAAAACGTAGGAAATTATACACCGTGAGATCGCTTCTATGGAGAACTAACTCACGATTAGATAATTGTGTACATTTTAACTTCAAATAGCATCGAACAATTTAACAATCTGAAAAGAATCGATCCATAGATAACCAAAATAGAAAGTGGTTCCGCGGAACTAACGGTTCTGCATCTTCAGCCTCTCCTCGTAGAACCTGATCACCTCCTGAGGATACCTGGAAAAGGCAGAATTAACATCTGCGACTCAGTCCAAAGAAGAAATAACTTACTTCACATTGGCCTCTTTGGCAGGTACAAGATCGGCAGTATGATCCTTCCATTTGATCAAGAAGTGCAGTTCACCGGGTGCATCCGTCAGTCCAATAATACGATGTAGCTGTTTCTCGTCACGCTTCTCCGATGGAGCTGTTTGTGGCTCCTTCTTCTCCACATAAAAGAAAAAACTACCGTACTCACTGCTCTTTCAGTATGTTGGTGAAACTTCATTCCTCATGAAAAATCAGAAAGTGGTTGTACTCTAAGGATACAATCGATCACCTGTTGTTCCACCAGCTACGGAAGGAAGAAACATCTGTAACAAGTTATAGACCCTACCTTGTTCCGCTTCCTCTCGAATTCCGCGATCAATTCGTGACAAGCTACATTCTCCTCAGGTTCCCAGGTACTTTCTTCAAGTGGAAAACCCTGGAACCAAACATTTGTTTAGATAAAGATTAAAGCTTCCTCATCGAGAGCTCCGTTCACGCATACACCCCCCCGACCCGCACAGCCTGCCACTGTTAACAAATTACTCCGATTTTTTCCGATCTTTATGCTTTGACGTTTGTTTATGACCAGCTTCCACCAACGTAAACGTCTGAAATTTGGAAAAATCATGATTGAGCACAGGGACGAATTACATTACTCAGGCAAGGGTTCAGTCGACAGATATGGCCAAATCTCTCTTAATGAGATGGTAGCCACTAAAAACGGTTTTGACTCTGACTCTCCGAATCTGCGTTCGAAATTTTGTGCAGAAGCCATTCGCTTCTGAACACAGGTAAGTAGTAGCTTTTTCCAACCGGCGTTTACCGACGCGAAGCCAGGTATCGTGGGATCGGATCCCTGCTGAGCTTAACTTTTTTGCTTCTTGTGCAAACGTGGCAAAAAGTGGTTGTAGCGTCACTACTACATTAGCGCTCTCCTTGACTTGCCTTAAAAACAGCTTGCGTCCGCTTACTGGCGCGCGCTTAGTGCCTTATGATCTAGGAGATGTATCATACAGGCCTGCACCTTGGCTCGCCAAGTCAGGCTTTCACCCGCCCGCTGAGCAATGCGCCATATCTCCCTAATTTAATAACGTTCGAGACTCCGCCGCCTGAGGCTAGAGGCTGTTCTGAGCCAACAATCTGGCATTGAACCTTCGCAAATTCGAAAACACGCTGAAGCATCGCATGCGGTTACGATCACTTAGACTTCTAACACCCCCGGCTACCTCAGCCTGCGGCCAGATTAAGTTCTCCCTGCACAAAAGCCGTCCGTCTTACGCACTGTCCTGTACGGCATTGTGTTCGTTCCCGTACGGTCTACCCCACACGTTTTCCTCCGGCTATCGTAAAAGCAAATTGCCGCGTGCCCAAAGACAACAAATCGACCAAGCTCGATCTGACTAACTTGTGACGCACTGCACTTCGAATCAAAACTGCTACCGCACTTCTCAAAGCTTAGGTCATAAACCTCACATGTGGCTAGGAACCTGTCACCCAAAATGTAAGCTTTTGCGTTCCACCTGAACCACCGCGAATATACAACCCAGCGGCATTTTGGGCGTTTCTGAGCTGCATTCTAAACCTCAAAAGAGACATCCATCCCACCGACAGAAAAGTGCCAAACCAAGCCCCTTCCCAACAATCCACGGAACCCATTACCATACTATAACCGTGTGCCGCAAACCGCAAGCAAGACCATTACCTGACTGCAACCCGACTCGCACCTTGAAGGTAATCCCCGAATGCCTCTTCCCGCGCTACTCTCAATGGCGCGCCGCCACCCTGGCCGCGCACACCGGCGCTCCCATCCGAGACTCCTGGTTTAGTAGTCGTCTTTAAGTCCTAAAAGCAAACCTTCCAAACTGAATCCGTTCAAAGGCTAAGTACGTTCTGCAAATGTTGTTGAAGGCAGAAGTCTTGATCCGAGGCAAAACAAGCGTCAATGAAAACCGACGTCCCTAGTGAGCTATCATCATCCTCACAAATGGCCACTGTCAGACTGACGACCTTCCCCTAGTTAGAACTGGTAAGTACCTAAGTCTTTCTCCACGAGCACACACGCCGAGACCATCCTCGACGGTGCGCTGGCTTGTTGGTATTCGAGATGGAAGTTCGCCGTAGTGTGGAGACGGCGGCCGCAGAATAAATTTTTTTCCAAAAGCGACCCAATTTAGGAAAGCTTCTCGAACCTTATGAGGCTATGTAAAACAAATCTATGCCATTTTTCACTTTGACTGTGCCACGTAATATTAGCACATCATGTAACTGAGTAACTCTACGTAACTAACCAGTCGAAGTCAGATTGCCTGGGGAGAAAATAGCTACTTGCCCTACCCTTTTTTTCAGTCCCCGCGATGAAACTCTCTCGGGAAACTTGCACAGTGAAACATTTTCCAGTGCCGTAATGCAAAGTTCAATAGGGCCGCAAAATGTGACGAGTTTCATTGTCTAGCCAGTACTTCAAATTCTGAAAATATGACACGGCATTCAGAACTGAAAAAGTTAAAGGAGACATTGTTCATTTTCAGCCGAAGCAGCTCGAATGGGTCAACCCAACTCCTTGGGGAAAAGATTCTCATATTCCGCGCTTTACCTACATTTCACATTACAAGCTTCACTTCTATGCTTTACCTACCTCAAAGTTCACAAGACTTACCACCCCAGCATACTGGATCAGCTCCAAATATTTTCAAAAGAAAAATTGCTAAAATACACTTACATCGCCAGAATCCTCATCTTCCTCCTTCCTCTTATCTCTTCCCATACTTGCAAGGGCAGATTTGCTACTTGTTTACTGTAAATCAAAGTGCAGGTGATAACGAAAATAGCAAATAATAGAGGTTTAACCACTTCCAAACTTTGACACTCACAACAGCAACCAGGAGCTTCGCAGGACTTACATTACTGCGGCAGAGTATTACAAGAATGTTCAACAAGTCACGAGCAAAAGTTAAAAACACCAGAACCACACAACAATGAAAACTGCAACCATACAACAAAGGAACAGAAGCAGACAGACCGCACGCACCCGTTCAAAAAAACGACAGCTGCTCATCTTAGCTGTCGCTTTACATGTTTTATCTGTAGTTGCGTATAAAACAATCGAGTACTGTAGCTCGAATACGCGCTGCCGTCGCTGCGGTTTCCAGACCACGCCCTATTATCGAGTGGTGTTTTGCAGCTGCAAATTTTCACTGCGCTATTGGTAGTTTACTATAATTTATTGTGAATCGATAACTCTTAGAATCCGTTGCTGGCATGTCGAATTCTTGCCATTTCTTCTTTATCACTGCCACTGCTGAACCTTTGGAGTTGGATTGGTTTTGATGTTTCTGTTTTCATTCCTAGACTGTTTACTCATAATCAGAATTACTTTGCGTGAGTATTGTAGCTGTATACGCCGGGAGTTCTGAAATGCATTTGGGAGCTTGCAGCCGTCTGAAACCTCAGGTTTCGGCCCTCCACAGCGATCGTTGGTCCGGTTTTACACTTCATCCGGTCGTAATTCCTCTTACACGGGTTGATCGTGGTCGCGTAGAGTAGGGAGGAGAGTTCCCGAATTTCTTCATTCTGCCTATCATTGTAGTTCAATAATCGTATTTTGGCTTTGAAAGCTTTGCAGCTACC